ATCCTTATTACCTCTTAAGGAAATACACAGACACTGGACTTCTAATGGAATATCCTTACCACATCTTAAGGCAATACACAAATGCTTGACTTCCATTGGAAGATCACTGTTGCCTCTTAAGTCAATACAAGAACGTTGGACTTCCACTAGAAGATCATTGTCACCTCTTAAGGAAATACACGAACACTGGACTTTCATTGGATGATCATTGCCACCTCTTAAGGCAATACTCAAATGCTAGACTTCCATAGGAGATCCTTGTCGTCTTTTAAGGCAATACATAGATGTTGAACTTCTACAGAAAGATCCTTGTCACCCTCGTGTGAAACACGACTGGGTTATATGTAGGGAGATCACCTCATCTAAATGCCTTGCTTGAGGGACTCAACTATGGGTCTCATCAAACAGGCCCATCTAAATTCCTCGTCTGATGGACTAAGAGTCTCATCAAATCAGTTCATCAAAAGGCCTCGCTTAAAGAACTAAGAGTCTCATTCGATAGGCTTATCTAAGCACCTCGCCCAAGGGACTGGACTAAGAGTCTCATCAAATAATATCATATGAACACCTCTTTTGAGGGACTAAGGGTCTTCTCAAACAGGCTATTTTAAGCACCTCACCTGAGGAAGTCGACTAAGAGTCTCATGAGACAGGGTCATCTAAACACCTTGCCTAAGGGATTAAGGGTCTCATCAGATATGCTCATCTAAATGCCTTGCCTGATGGACAAATGATCTTCTCATACAAGCTTATCTAAGGACCTTGCATGATGGTCGACTAAGAGTCTCATCAGACAGGCTCATTTGAACGCCTCTCTTAAGGCTCTAAATGTCTAGACAAACTCATTAAAACACCTCGTCTGAGGGGCTAAGAGTCTCATCAGAAATGTTCATCTAAACACATTGCCTGAGGGAATAAGAGTCTCATTAGACAAACTCATCTAAGCGCCTTGCCCGATAGACTAAGATTCTCATCAAACAAAGTCATCTATACGCGTCGCTTAAGGGACCAGACTAATAGTCTCATCAGACAGGCTCATATGAGTACATCTCCCATAAGCCTAGGCTCCCCTATGTCAATTAAGTTCTCTGTCCTTTACCAAATTCTTGTTCATGATGGATTATGTAGTGATATATTTGTAAGGACCCTTAGGTTAGGGGTGATATATTTTATTGTAATCAATTCCCTTCAAATAATTTCTTTCCAAAAACATAAAGAATGTACACATCAATAAAATCACATTATAAACCAATATATTGTTGGAAATAAGACCTTTTGTGTTTTGGAAAAGTGTGTGTGGGAATATTAGAGGCTTGATAGATAGTAAAATCTTTTGTGAAAAAGATAACCTTTTATTTTGTTTGATACAAAAGTGTAGGATTACATCTCTATTTATAGAACTCTAAGGAGAACTCTAGACAAATTAATTCTAGAGAGTTCTCAACTCTAGAAAATCCAAGAGTATTATAGAAAATATTACAACCCAAAGAAATATCTAGACACTTCAAACACTACAAGAGTTTTCTAGAAACATTATCCAAAATTACCTAACCGCAAAATAACTAAGCTCTAAAAATCCAAAACACAAATAATAAGGTTAGCCCAAATCAAGTTTAATATTTCAACATCCCTTCTTAAACTTGATTTGTGACTCCAAGCATACTCCTTGGCTTCACGAAAGTTTCCAACTTTAGTGGCTTTGCGAAAATGTTAGGAACTTGATCTTGAGACATTATATACTTCAACTTCAAGACTTTTTCTTCTTGCCCTTTTACTTCATAGCCAAGTGGTTGCTTGATATAAACTTCTCTTTCAAGAAAACTATTCAAGAAGGCTGACTTGACATCCATTTGATAGAATAGACTTCCATGTCTTTGAATGTAGCCTTTTGTCACCAATCTTGCTTCTCCATGTCTCCTTTTGTATTCTTCTTCGCCTTGTACACCCATCTTACTCTGATTGCTTTGCGTCCTCGTGGAAGTGTAATAAGTTCCCACATATCATTCTTCATGATTGAATTGATTTCTTCGTCCATGGCGTCTCTCCACTTTACGTTTTTAACGGCTTTTTGATATCTTAGAGGCTTGCAATAACCAAAAAGACAAAAGAGGTTAATGTCGGTTTGGTTTCGGTTACCTCATAAAGCTCTTCAATTCTCCTTAGTTGTGGTGTCCTCTCACTTGAGCTTGTTTCATTCAACCTTAGTGTTCGTGAGGCTGGTGGTGTAATATGTTCCTCTATCATTGGTTGTTACATTTCTTCTTCTTCTTTAAAGTAAGGAAGAAAACCATACTTGTCTTCTTGAACACTCTTATCCCAACAATCTTCTTCTTCGGACTCCGTGTAACGGCTTATGACGATCTTTCCACTATTATGATGATAAAGCTGGTACCCTTTGGAGTTTGAGTTGTAACCCACAAATACGTACTTCTCACTTTTATCATCAAGCTTTATTCTCATTTCATCTGGAACATGGGTATAGAAAATGTTTCCAAACATTTTGAGGTGAAAGATCTCGGGATTCCTTCCACTCCATGCTTCTTATGGTGTCTTCTAATGCACGCTTCTTGTTGGGGAATAGTTTGTCTGGTAAATCCCACATGCCACAGCTTCGGCATAAAACTCTTTCAGCGTTTTCTTGCTCTTAAGCATGTTTCACACCATGTTAAGTATGGTCCGGTTCTTTCTCTCTTCTACTCCATTTTGTTATGGTGATCTTGAAAATTTTAGTGGGCGGTAGATTCCATGGTCTTCACAATATTGGTGGAACTCATTTGAAGTGAACTCTCCTCCTCGGTCAGATTTCATGACCTTAATGAAAAGATCACTTTCTTTCTCCATAAGGGCTTTGAACTTCTTAAAGCTTTCAAACACTTATGACTTCTCCTTCAAGAAATAAACCCATGTTTTTCTGAAATAATCATCAATAAAGAGGATAAAGTATTTACTCTTACCAAAAGTGTTTGGATTGATTGGTCCACAAACATCAGTTTGTATGAGCTATAGCGGTTTTATCACTCTTGACGTTTTTTTCCTTTGGAAAGATTTTTTGGAATTGCTTCCCAATTAGACATCCTTTACACAGCTGGTCTGTGTGGTTTATACTACGCAAGCATCTCACCATCTCCTTCTTTGACAAACGTTTTAGACTGTCGAAGTTGAGGTGTCCGAATCGTAGATGCCATAGCCACGAAAAATCGGTATCGTAAACCTTGAGACACTTTGCCACATCATTTTGAATGTTCAAGAGGATAATTCTATTCATTGGCATATGCACCTTAGCAATCAATTTATGTCCATAATCTCTTAAGAAAAGACTATGTTCTTTCAAGTGGATGTCATAAGCTTTCTCTAATAATTGTCTCAAGCTCAAAATATTATTCTTCATGTTAGGCACATATTAGACATTAGATATGAATTGATTACTCTCATTCTTCAAGTGTATGAGAATTTTACCTTTGCCTTTGACCAGTATCTTTGAGTCATCTCTAAATGAGACATTTCCAGTTGTCGCTTCATTGATCTCTACGAACATGCTTCGATCGCTGCATATGTTTTTGCTTGCGCCGGTGTCGAGGCACCACTTGTTTCTTTTTTCTTCAACTTGGTTTTGGAACACGAGCAACAATGTTTCTTCTTCTTCACTTTTTTCTTCTACAAAGTTAGTTTTCTCCACAACCTTCTTCAAGAATCTACACTTAGATGCGTAGTGGCTGATCATATTGCAGTTAAAGCACTTGATTTGTGATTTTTCACACCGCAACCATAAATTTCCTCTTTCACAACTTCTTGTTGCTTGTGGATTCCAACTTCTTTCTCCATTGTTGAAGTTATTGAAGTAGTTGTTGTAACCGTCTATTCCTTATCCTCCATGTCCTCATCCATGTCCAAATTCGCCGTCTTTGGCTCTAGTAATTCACATAGTTTGTTTCCTTTGCGTTGAGTTGTAGTAGTTACTCCATAGTCTCCTTTTGTTTAATTTTTCTCTTTTATTTTTCTTCGTATGCTTGTAAGGAACCCATGAGTTTCTAAATAGCCATGGTCTTTAAATCCTTGTTTTCTTCATTGTTGGTAACAATGAAGTCAAAACTTGGATTTAAAGTGCAAAGTATTTTCTCCATGATTTTCACCTCATTAACATCTTTGTCATTTCTTTTAAGTTGATTGACTACGGTCAATAATCGAGAAAAATAATCAGAAATTGAAGTTTGTCCAATACTTCTTTAGTCTTCGTTGCGTTAAAGATCTTCTCAAATATATCTTCATCCATCAATTGATAAATGAGGAAGAAAGCTTTCTTGTCTCTCTTTCTTTACTCCTTCAATGTCTCCTTTACACCTTGGATTAGCGAGACTTCATCTTTCTCATTGAAACCTTTTTCAACGATATCCCACACATCTTGAGCTCCCAGTAGCGCCTTCATTTTGATACTCCAATTGTCATAGTTGTTCTTTGTGAACATCGGCATTTAGAAAGAGAAATCTCCATTCGCCATCTATGAGGACCTTGAAGCTCTGATACCACTTTGTTGGAAATAAGATCTTGTGTTTAGAAAAAGTTTGAAAATATTAGAGATTTGAATAGAAACTTGATAGATAGGAGAATTCTTTATGGAAGAGAGAATCTTTTATTTTGCTTAAAACAAAAGTGCAGGATTATATTTTTATTTATAGTATTTTAAGGAAAACTTTAGACACACTAATTTTAGAGAGTTCTCAACTTCAAAAATTTCAAAAATATTTTAAAAAATATTACAACTCAAAAAATATTTAGACATTCCAAACATTTTTAGAAACATTATCCAAAATTATCTAAACTCAAAAATCCAAAACACAAATAATAAGATTAGGCTAAAATCAAGTTTAATATTTCAATAGGCTCTAAAATTTCTAGACTTTCAACAGAAAAATTACATTTCATACATAAAAATTGTAAAAGAATATCCTGTATACTCTACTTGGAGGAGTGTATCTGAAGTCACAAAATTATTTTATCTGGTTCTAGCTAGCAGTGAATACTCTATTGTACCAAATGGAATGAAGTATCATATGAAATATATCATACTTAACAGGACTTCTATGCCAAAGAAAATGCTGTTGCACTTTTTTCACTCTCATCTGCATTTCAAGATACCTCTTTTTTGGAATGGAAACAAGAATACTCTTCAAATTTGGAATGTCCCTCTCCAAAACAAATACAGCAAATGATTCCCAATTCAGAACCTCGAAAAAAGGCGGCACGAAATTGTCCGATATAATAACCGGAACACATTCGTAGACGATAGCCTCGACAACTCTCGGACTGTTAACTTCATATCCCTTTGGACATATACAGTACCTGCTACTTTTCATGTACTGGATGTAGTTCCTGTCTCCTTCTGACTTTGGCATCATACCGAAGATTTTCATATCAGGATCTTTGTTTTCCCAATGCTGTAGAAGAATCGGACGGACGTAGCCATGCATACCGCCTGCGAAAAAGGCAAGAGTTTTCCTCTCTGAAAGTGGTTTTCCACCGAGGTTTATGGTCCGATTCTGAGCATGGACGTAAGTTTCGGGAAGTGATACGTCTTTCCCTAACATGAAACCTTCTTTGAGATCAGCATTGCATAGAGATCTTATGCACTTCGCCATCCGCTGCTTTGTTTCTGAAGGTGCCTGCATAATGCAGTCCAAAGTGGGTGACTGAGAGATCAATTCATTTTCACAAACGGTAGGTGCCGTGTAATTTCATCTCAAAATTTTCAATATATCACTAATCAGTCATCAACTATCAACTATCAGTCATCAGATATATTATAATTTATCAGCGAGAAAATGACAAAGAAAAGATTGATCTCATTGAACTGATAATAACATACCCAATCATGGCAAGCAACAAGAAAATGATCAGCACCTTCTGTTCTGTTCCAAAACCAATGCTTTCCCGCAATCATGTCTACATAGTTATTCAGATAGTGCACTAGGTTCCTGTGACCATGTAAATTCCGATCATACAGCGTTACCTCGAGCCTTCGAGAACTGAAAGGTAAGTAAAACAGGTGCGCCTTCTTCGCGTCTTTAGTAACAAATGCTTGATTAGCTTCCATCAACTTCATGAACCACCCCTCAGAAGCGTAAATTCCCAAGAGATATGGCGAATGCATTATCGGCTTAGACCCTTCTGTGTATACATACACTTTGAGAGTCTTTTCCATCAACTCATAGCTCCTGATAATTAGACAATAGTATCATTAAACTTCTGAACAATTTTCGAAACAAAATATACAATAATAACAAGACAATACCTCTTAAACATGGAAACATTGCAAAAAAGAGGAGCATAAAGGTTTCCAAGATCAGTTACAAGTGGTGCATTTTCAATCTCAAGTCTAGCTTGTAGTAGCTCTTGATCAACAGCTAAAGACCATCTTGGCCTCTAAACACAAGTTAACAACATAAGAAAAGAACACAAGAATAAGCAATATTAATAAAACAAATAAACCATAATTAGATTAACTTGTATACCGCAGATCGATACGAAGCATAGTTTTGTAGTAATAACTTGTCCATTTCTGAAATTGACATTGTTTCTTGAACTTTTACAAGAGAATTTTTATTCTCCTTAGGCAAAACTGTGATTGAAGACTGGTTGCTTATTACATTGATATCATCAGATGCAGATGGTGGGTCTGCATCATGAAATTTAGAGGGAACTAGAATGTTACCGTAGGGAAGCTCAAAGTATTGGAAAACAAAAATGAGTGCAAAGGTGATGATAATAGTAAGGTATAAGAATCTGTTTCTTTCAAGGTGAAATAAGGAGAAAAATTCTGGACCCATTTTGGTAGAGTTATTCAACAATCATGAGTTGACTTGAGTGGCATATGAAAAAACCAGATCTAGTCACTACTAAGTATTAAGTAATGGTAAGCATGGGTGGCATGTATATTAAAATATAAATTTGTCTCTTCAAAATCTCTATGTTCAAGATACCTTAAAAAATATTATTAATATGAAAAATGCTATTTTGACACCATTTCTTACACCCCATACATACACCGTATGCACTGTTCACCGTATTTATACGGTGAACAGTGTTTTTTTATTAAAATAATATATTTTTTTAAAATATTAATTTTTTTAAAAAAAAATATTTATTTTTAAAATTTATTTTATAACACAAATATAAGATTATTCATTAACCAAATTCACAGTTGAATTAACCACAAAAATCTACATCATTAACCAATTATTTTACCTATAATTTATTAACCACTTTCACTACTTCATTAACCAATAAAATACATACCATTAACCATGTTCTGAGCATTTTTTTCATATATTTATGAATAGTAAATTGGGTGTAAGGTGTAAGAATGGGTGTAGGAATAGCAAACCTGTATTAATATTGAATGCTTTTATAAGCACATTGTTTAAAATCTCCGTATTAAAAAATAATTAAATTAAAGTTTTTGTCCTCTCTATTATAAATTATGTTCACGCTATCAATTTTTATTAATGATGCAGAATTTAAATGGGCACCTAAGTTGATTTGTGAGATATGTGATGTCACTTACATCGTAGAATCCACTGTCAAACAAAAGGTCGTTAGAAAATACAACTCTAAAGTGGTCTTAAGAGAAATGTAAGAAGACGAAGTCGTGTTTTGGCAAGTGGTTGTATTAGTTTGTTTGAGGAAATTGCAACCTAACTTGGAAGGACCCATATCGTGTATTAAAGAAAGTATTTTATAGGGCCTACAAACTCGAAGAGCTAGATGGAAGACTCATTCCAAGAACTTGAAACTCAGTTACTTGAGATATTATTATATATAGTTAGTCATTTAGTGTTTCTTGTTTAATAAGGCGAAAGGCTTTGGCCCACTAATGCACGAACTTTCAAAATATTTTGATTTTTTCAATATGAGGGACAAAGTAGCACATTTTTTCCCACATGGTTAAGTGTTTTGATGAGGCGTTATATCTTAAGAACTATATAAATGATGAGGTTGGATGTATTATACATGCTAGAACTTCAATCAAGTGTCTATTCCTCCCACGAGACTACTGAATGGTGAAACGTCAATGAAATATCTTTACCACCCTTGAGGCTAAATTGACTATGAAACTTTAATGAAGTACCCTTGTCGCCCACAAGACTATTGAACGTTGGAATTTCTATGAAGTACCCTTTCCATCCATGAGACTATTAAATGTTGGAACTACAATGAAGTATCCTTGCCGCTAATGAGGCTATTGAATACTAGAACTTCAATAAAGTATTCTTGTCCTTCGTGAGACTATTGAATGCTGGAACTTTAATGAAATATCCTTACCTCTCTATGAGGCAATATGATTGTTAAATCTTTGTTTAAGGATCTTTGTTGACTTATCGGGAAACTTGCTATTGAAATCCAAACAGCTATGCATGCATAATGACACAAGAACTTTCCTCGTTTATGAAGATTCTGGACACGCCAAAGTTTGTTATGCTTACTGTTATTATTAAGAGAAATATTTCATTTAGGATTCCACCCACTTTTTCACTATTTTAGAACCCAAGAGTAGGCCTTTATGGTTTTTCTTCATAAGCTTACCCTTTTTCTCTGCCATCCACCATTAGCTCGACGATTCTCCTCTTTACCACACCTTTGGAAGAGATTCTAATTCGAAGGAGGCCTCAAATGATTTATGTGATGTCTTTCCACTTTCCAATTCAGTATTCCTCTTCATCATCTCTTTTATCTTTCTTTCCCTTAGTCCCGCTAACGACTTATATGGTTTTTTTTGGGGAACCTTTTCCTCGGCGAGGGGATCATTTCTTTCTTGGAAACTAGTCTCATTTCATATGCTCTTTCTTTCTGTCCTTATCCTCCTTCCAGCCACCCATCTGGGTGTACCAAATAAGTCGCCCCATTCAAATGCACGCACTTGCCATTGTTTTGGCCCTGACTTTTGTGAAAACAACACTATTTTGAATGATCCATCCTACATGACTCTCTGACCAAATAAAGGTTTTTAATCCTGACTTCTTTAAAGTTTATGTTTGCACAGTCTGGCCTAAATTTCTCCCTAGATGTGTTCAAAGGAGTGTATGATAAGAGCGCGACTCGAGGTCTCCATTCTTTGTTGTCACATTAACCGTTAAAGTTTTTCTCGGATGCTTGGATGTGTCAAGGGATCCCTCACCCTCTTCCTTTCTCTCCTTATTCAGTGGTGAGTTGTTCCTCATAATTGATATAGGGTTTGGCACTATCCAACAATTTGTATAAGCTACTTGCTCCTTCCAGGCCCTACTTTTCATAGGAGATACAACCCAACCTCAACCCCTTCTTAAATATCTTTCATTTTCAACCGTCATTTATTCCCCCTCACTTTTACAACTACTTTTGTAAATTAGTCAATATATTAGTGTATGGTTTCCTTCTTTTTCGATTAGATTCAGCTGAACAAGGCTATTATGGTTAGTTTCCACTTCTATGGGGGTGATTTAGGTGGTAAAGGAGTCACATAACCCCTTCCATGAACTAAGGCTCCACATCATGGAGGATCCCTTAATGGTTAACATTAAAAACTTCCATTATATATATATATATATATATATATATATATATATATATATATATATATATATATATATATATATATATATATATATATATATATATATATATATATATATATATATATGTATATATATATATATATGTTTGTATGGATCCCCCATTATGTCGTAACTCTCCAGCCTCAAGGTCATCCAAGGGCATGTGGCTCCCACCCCTTCCTCTATAATCATGAGGCATAGCCTAGTGTCGTCAATATTGATTATGGCGTGGGAATCTAGGGGTGATATATGGAAAAGTAGTGTCATTGAGTATAGATTATGGATCTTCTCTCGGATCATTGTGTGGAACCATCTCACTCATAGAATTATCCTTGGGGGAGCGAATTACAAGTTTTCTTCAATTTGGAGTATCCTTTCAGACAAGAGGTGAAAATTGTGATGTTGCACCAGATTATTGACATTGTTTAGCAGACCATTTCCCCCTTGCATGCCTAAAGTTTCTTGTAGCTATTGGAGGTTGTATAGCATTTCATGACTAGGAATTAAAGGTTGCAACAAAGGTTGCTTCGAAGTCTAATCGTAGAGTGGTTGTAAGGAAGGATGGAAGCTTATGAGAGTTTGGAAGGTGCTCTATCTAACCATCATAGGTATTGAATTTTATAGCGTTGGAACTAAAGAAGGAGTAATTAAGACCGAAGCATCCTCAATCGGAGGAGAAAGAGGAATCTCCCTAATGAGATTAAGATTGTTAGTTACGACAACGTTGTCTATAGTAACCGAACAAATGGATTTTGATGATGCCATGATTGTACAAACTTAATCGACAATCTATAAAAGGAAGAACTTGATACTCTATTAGACAGGAAGATCACTGATCCAAAAGAGAAATAACACTGATTTAAATTTGTGGTGAAGAGACAATGGTTCTCTGTGGAGATTTACATGAATTAAATGTTGATTCCCATAAATAGAGCAATTTTTTCATATGAGAACTAGAAATTGGTAGATATCGAGTGAAATAGAGTTCAAATGTGATTAAGTGACCTTCCAGTACAACAGGGTGAAGGTGGAACTCCAATATTAGCAATCCAAAATCCAAGTTAGTGAATGAGTGAGATAGTAAGTTGAGTCTGTGAATGATTACTTGAAATGGCATGTGTTGTGCTTTATATAGTGTGAGTGGTTAAACCACCCCCTTGTGATCTGATGCTTTATTCAGTTTTTATCATATCAGATCCAACGATGGGGTGGTTTGGCAGCTCGATGATGGGTGATACATGCAAGCGCTCCAACAATCAAGTAAGTTACTATTAGAGGCAATATGTAATTTCTAGGTAAAAATGCGTAAATTTTGATTTAATGTTTTCCTTATTGTTTTATAGGGGTTTTAGGGTTCCTCGTGGACTTCGAATCTTCTAGAGTGGGCTAGTTGCTCAAATGGACTGTGCATAATATAATTTATTTGAGAATTTCTTATTGCACCCTATGTGTTTCTTAGACACCATGTAGATTTCCTTTATTGCCCCTAGTTTTCGGAGATATATCTTCGGACACACCCTTTTCACACTCAAAGAAGTCCATTCTGGATGGCGCCCTATGTAATCGCTAAAGATTTATTCTGGAGATGCATCTACGGATTAATTTTGTAGTTATATTTCTGGAACAAAACCAGAGACAGACATTAACACAAGGTGAACTTTCCAAACATAAAATGAGCATTATAATGATGAATTCAATAGAAAATTAAATAATACATTTCAATATTTCGGTGGAGGCTTGCACATCTCCAAGATATCGTCGACCAATATTCGCAGTGTCGCTTCTAACTCAAGCGGAACTTTCTCTTTGAAACCGAAAAATGTTTGCCACATCGCATTAACATTCACTCGAGTCTTGAGCTTAAATTTGTTGAACAAAATGTTCCCTTTGTTGTCAACCGAGGGTGAATGGTACTCAAGCTTGATAACCCTTAATGTGTCTCCGTAAGGTACGAGATATTGGATTTCTTTTATGATATCGTCGAGGGGGTGAGATCGGTGAGCTTGAACGTCCCTCTGGGTGTAGATGCGCCAGAGTAGGAGATACTTACGGCATATCAACAAATGTTTACTTCACACATTTGAGAAATTTTGCGTTTTTGCAAAGTATAACACAAGAATAGTCAAATTTATAGAAGACCTAGTTTAATAAGGACCACTCATTGACTGTCATTCATACTCCAGATATATATCTCCAGAACGAACCCCAATTATATTGTCCCGGAGATGCATCTTTAG